CTTTCGCTCCTCTTTTATTCCCTCTGGGAGAGGCCATTCATCGTCCACCTGCGGCCTTACTCCCAAGTCAACCCCTGTTCTTTAGCTATTCCCTTCCTCTGGCAACTCTGAGCATGCGCACACTGGGAACAGGTCCCAGCTGTTCCTCTGCCTCACTGATGTCTGACTCTGAAGGCAGCTGATAACTGGCATATGGCTCTGGTCCCCTCTCTGCCTCCGACGCAGAGCCCTCATCAGAGCCTTTCCCAGACTCCAGGACTGGCCCATCTTCCTTCCCAACCTCCTCACTGTCCGAATCTGCTGCCAGCTCTTCTGGCTGCTGGCGGGCCACAACACTGGATGGGGAGCAGAGAGTCCCTCTTTCCTGCCCTGTCCAGTTCAGGCTCAAGTGGTAAACAAGGTGGCCGAGAGATGGGGTCAGGGACATGGGGCAGGTCCTTCCAAAAGAGATAGTTAAGACCCCGCCAAGCCTTGCCCATATTAGGAGACCAAGATCTACCCTGAATTTGGGGGCCTGATTAATCAGGCCTGATCCAGCCATTCCTTTCATCTTCTTTGTCAATTCTTGATCTGTCCAGTCTTGAGGCCCCTGGGGGCCATTTTGAACCATCTTTAGTTGGTTCCCACTTCCTCAGATAAGTCCAGAAAAGGCGCTAACCTGCTCCGATTTGGAGTAATGGGCCGGATCTGCCAGGCTCCTGCTTTCAGCTGGTTTGCTTTCTCTCCTTTCTCCAGGCTTTTGGCCACTTGCTCTGCTGACCAGACGTGCAAAATATGGAGGACCTCCAACTTCTCGCTGATGACGGAGCTGAGCATCAAGAGCAACAACCCCGGGGAGACTTCCCGTGGCTGGATGTGGGACTGTGCCTTTTCGGGGGATTCTCAGTACATTGTCACAGGTGAGAGGGGTGGAGCCCATAGGCCCACCTGGGAAAGAAGCTGCTCTGGGGCGGCCATCCTGGAGCAAGGAAGAGTGGATGCATCTCTTCCTTTCCCCTTTTGCCCAAAATATAAAACACAGATGCCACTTCAGTAGCGTTTTGAACACATCTGTTCTCCCTAGAGCAGTACAAGTAGTTCTCAACTTATGACCACAATGGAGCTCAAAATCTGTTGTCTAGTGAGACAGTACTTAAGTGACTCTTGCCCCATTTTATGACTTTCCTTGCCACCATTGTTGAGTGAATCACTACAGTTGTCAGATTAGTAACACGGTTGTTAAGTTTATCTGGCTTTACTTGTCCGAAGATCACAAAAGGGGAATCACATCTCACACACACACCGGGACACTGTGACCGTCATGAATGTGAGTCAGTTTGCCAAGTGCCTGAATTTCAATCATGCGACCATGGGGATGCCACAACAGTCATAAGTGTAACAAATGGTCATAAGTCACCTTTTTCAATGTTGCTGTAACTTCAAATAGTCACTAAACGAACGGTTGTAAGTCGAGGAGTCCCTACATTATCCCATATTCTGCAAAAGGAAAGAAGGACCCATTCACTGGCCAGCCCCTGTTGTAGAGGCAAGCCATGAACTGCTCTCTCGGGCTTTGTGATGTTCTTTTAAAGCCTAAGGTCCTGGAGTTGGAGAGGTCCTCGAGCAGAGGTCCCCAAACCTGGCAAGTTTAAGACTTAAGCTCTGCTGGCTGGAGAATTCTGGGAGTTGAAGTCCACAAGTCTTAAAGTTGCCAAGTTTGAAGGCCTCTCTGTCCTTGAGGCTGTAGAGCCCACCCCCTGCTCTGTGCATAAATCCACACGGAATCAGTGCAGGCAGATTGTTCGGTCTCTGCTTGAACCCATTCAGTGAAGTGGAGGCCTTGTCCATCCTGGGGCCACTTCCACCCTCTTGTGCTGTTTGTACCATTAGGAAACATATTCTTCTGCACCCAATACACTGGGGAGGGGTCTTTGCCTTTTGCGGGACGCCCCTTTGACAACTAAAGGGGCTGCCATCTTGTGCCCCCGATGGTCATGGATGTCCAAAGGCTGGGCCCACGGAGTTCCCTCATGCTCTCAACACGTGACCTGGTCCTGTTTTCTGTGGGGGTCTTCCAAAATGAATTCTTAGCAAGGGTTGGACCCTTCTAGAGCAGGGGTCTCCAAACTTGGCAACTTTAAGACTTGTGGACTTCAACTCCCAGAATTCCTGAGCCAGCAAATCTGGCTGGGGAATTCTGGGAGTTGAAGTCCACAAGTCTCAAACTAGTGTTTTTCAAACGTGGTTACTTGAAGACATGTGGACTTCAACTCCCAGAATACCCAGTGTAGGTGGACTTCTAAAAGGGAGGGGGGAAATGAGCAAAATGAGGAATTCTGGCAGTTGAAGTCCACGTGTCTTGAAGAGGCAACGTTTGAGAAACATTGTTTTAAACCTTTGCTGGCTGGGGAATTCTGGGAGTTGAAGTCCACAAGTCTTAAAATTGCCAAGTTTGGGGACCCCTGTTTTAGAGAAACGGTCAGCCTTTGGCTATCTGTCCCTCCTTTCTGGGTGCCACTCCTCTGAACTCTCTTTTTCCCCCTGCAGCCTCGTCAGACAACTTGGCCAGGCTCTGGTGTGTGGAGACGGGGGAGATCAAGAGAGAATACAGCGGGCATCAGAAGGCGGTTGTCTGCCTGGCTTTCAACGACAGCGTCTTGGGCTGAGGAGCAAGCTGGGACGGCACCTCTTCACCCGCCGGGCTGCCTTCTGGACAAAGGAAAGGATTCCTGCTGGGCCCCATTAGCCACTGTTTCTTTCTGCCGAGGGAGTGGAGCTGGCTGAACTCGGCTGAGGCTGCACTCCCTGCCCTTTGGTTTAGTTAGCAAGTGTGGCTGGGGCCCCTTGTGCTCCCCATTTGTAGCACCTTCTTAAAACCAGCATGGAGCTGGCAGAGAAGGCTTTGAAGCAGGGCGATGACGGGTATCCTACTCTTGGCTGCCTCTAGGAAGAGCCTCTTGTGCCCTGAGTCTGGGGTAAGCTGGATCTCCTTCCTGAGCCCCTTTTTCTGCCCCCCTCCCCCAACCTTTCCCCCCAGGCTTCATTTGAGAGCGGGCACTGACTCCAGAGTAATTATGGGCTCTGCCTGCTAACCAGCATGGTGGCAAAGGGAGAAAGGTTGCCATTGAAGAGGGTGCCCTTCCCCTTGCAGGAGGGACAGGCTTCAGTCTGGTCCTCCGTTCCCCAGGCAGCCCTGCTGGGTCATCTGGCTTAGAAGAAGGAGGGAAGGGGAAGCCTCCTTGTCAGCCAAGATGGCCGACTTCTCTCTCTAACCGAACATGCTCACATCCCAAATCAAAGAGTACCATACATGATGGGTGTTTTTTTTTTTAAAAAGGTTTTCTTTCACATAATGTTTGTATGGATCTGACCTTCACCATTAAGCTACTTCTATCAGAAACAATTATTTACAGGTTACAGTTGAAAGCGACAAACTTCGTAAATGTATGTATATATGTATATGTATATATATACATATATATATATCTCAAGATGACCAAGTAGTGGAGTTGTTTTCCTTCTGGCTGATCCAGAGTCCTGAATGAGGAGGTGGGAGGCTCTCTTGGGAGGCTGAAGGATTTGGGTCAAGCACGGGGAGAGGGGGAAATTTGACTTCAGGTCTTGATTGGGTTCAAGGGTAGCCGAGCCGGACCGCGGATGTTGGTCTCTTTGGACCTTCACTCGGGAAGGTAGTAGAAACAGATGGAGACACAGATGTTGTTTGGGAAGCAGATGTCAATGCAGAGGTAGATGAGCCGCTGCTTTGGAGGATCTGTGAAGAGCACAAAGTGTTTGTAGAAAGGTGGGTTTTTGGGTGTGGGGGAGGGAAACAGAGTCCTTTGGATAAGCTATAAATGTTAGCAGGGCAGAACTGCAATGGCGGTTGCTTGTCTTCGGGAACTGGAGGGGGAAAAAACCCCAAAATTCATTTTGATTTTAAGACCCTCTAATCCAGGGGTGTCAAACTCAAGGCTTGGGGGCCAGATTCAGCCTACGGGGTACCTACCGTATTTTTCAGAGTATAAGACAGACCTTTTTCCCTCAAAAAAGAGGCTGAAAATCTGGGTGCGTCTTACACACTGAATGTAGCATTTTTTGCCTCCTGAAACCCCGCCCCTTCACCAAAATGGCCGTGCAGAGCCTTTAGGAGGCTTCCAGGGTGCTCCTGGGGGGCTGAGGAGGGCAGAAATGAGCAAAAAAGGAGCCTTTTTTGCTTGTTCTCCCCCCCCCCCAGCCCCCGAGAGCACTCTGGAAGTCTCCTAAAAAAAAAGGTCCTCCATTTTTTTGACAAAAAACAGGCCTGTTTTGAGAAGGTTTGCAGAGTGCAAAAACTTTTTTTAATTGCCTCTTCAAAATTTTGGTGCATCTTATACTCCGAAAAATACAGTAGATCTGGCCCACGGGGCTGCCCTGGAAGTAGCAGGACCAGGGACTGGACCACAGTGCCTCTGCTAGCAAAAACGCAGCTCCATTTTCACTGGCAGAGGGTTGTAGGAGGCCGGCACAGCCAAAAACGGAGCCTGGGAGCCCCTTTTAGCTGGAAGAGCACTTAGGCCCCCACAGGCACTCCCAACACAAGTAATGTGGAGCTGGCCATGCCCACCATGGCCATGCTCCCTCCCACCCACCCCCAGCCCCCTGAGGTCAAACACAACCCTGGTGCGGCCCTCAATGAAATCGACTTTGACACCCCTGCTCTAATCAGTGGTCCTCAACCTTACCAGCTTTGCGGCCGGTGCGTGGGGGGGGGGTTCTGTGCACGTGGTAGGCGAGTGCGTGCTTGAGTTCCCGCTGCTTGCGCAAATGGAGCTGCATGCAGGCGCTCGCCTGCTGCTTGCACGGCCCAGTTCTGAATGGGCCACAGCCCAGGGCCAGGCCGCAGCCCGGGATTGGTGACTCCGCTGTAGATCTCAGCTTTTGCTGCTATTGACTTCGGCTGCTGCCACATGTGAGGCTAACCTTTCATCCTTCCTGGGAGGAGGGATCCCCGTCAGCCACATAATGTTGACTCCTGTGGGAATCAGAGTGCAGGTAGGTTCAGAGGTTCTGGATTAGATTCGACCCCTTCCTTCTGCTCACTGATATCTGCAATGTTCTCCAAGTATAAAGAGGTTTGTTCCTTGGTATTGTGTGAGTTTGTGCGCTTTTGAGTCATTGTTGACTCCTGGCAACTGCCTGTTCAAGTCCCTCCAGTTTTTGTCGCAAAGTTTTTCAAAAGGACTGTATTTTTTGAAGGATATGACGCTCCTTCCCCCCCCCCCAAAAGAGGGTGACAATCTGGGTGCATCTTATACACTGAATATAGCATTTTTGGCCTCTCGAAACCCCGGCTCCTTGGCAAAAATAAATATGCAGAGTTTGGGAGGTCTGCAGAGTGCAAAAACTTTTTTTAAAAATTTACCTCTTCAAAATCTTGGTGCATCTTATA